CTAAAAGAGCCAAGGATGCCTACCCCTGTGCTAGAGAGAGCCCTCAAGTTTCCCAAAGTTCAAACTAATCTCAGATAACATTACAAAATATTATTTCACATATTGTCACATCAAAATCTGTTAAAGAAGCTTCGAGCTTAAAATTAATATAAGCAATTTTATCCTTGAATTATTTGGCAAAAGTGTCACAGTTGCCAGTTGAAGCATCAGTTCCACTATTCCTCTAAAGAAGGGAGTAAGCTTATCTAAACAAAACCACTAAAAATTGCAGACACAATAAGGACAGAGAAGTCAGCATGTTTCACCACCCTTAACCAACAATGTATAACATATTACTGTAGAACATGAGCACATACCTGTGGTAAGTCTTATTCATTTCTTGCTAAAAGGCTGGAACTCCCACATAAGTTAAAGGAAAGGAGAAGCAACATGAAGCATCAGACATACCCTTCTCTTAATAATGTAACTTTCTATGTGCAGGAAGATAATGTCCCTAATTGGGTAAAGCTGGACTATGTGTATAAACAAGCTAGATTATGGATCATATTTTAACCCACTCTTTTTAGTTTTTATTAAATAAATACAAATTGGCATTTTATTAGAGATGGGGTATTGTTGTCTGAACAATTATTATAACCATTTAACTGGTGAACCATTCAATAAAAACTGATAGTGTCTTTGTGTACAGTGGAAGCTGCCTTTGTGGAAATTTTGCAATGATACAACTGCTATAATTATTTGATTAATCAGATTATCAAAATTTTGGACAGCCAAAACTTATAACAATATTCTATCTTCCGGTTCCACAAATCTATGCGCATACAGAAGGTTTTCAAAAGAACCATCACATAGAAAAAGACCAGAGACAACCTTTCAGAAACACAAGTCTATACTAATATACCACTTGAGTTTCTAATATGTTGATCTATAATTGTTTTTACACATTTTTGAATATCCAGATATATACCAGTAATTAAAATGAAATTCCATTCAATATTGTTAAAAACCTTATTTTAAAAATAATTTCATGATTTATACAAAACATGTTTTCAGTAAATATAATCCAAAATTAATAACATAATCTGATCATTACAAGCAGAAGCTATAAATGGAATACATTGGTTTAAAATTTATTTCTACCTGAATTCACCCAACCCTAAACAAGGCTTTATTTGCATTAACTATAGTTCCATATCAAATGCACTAAGTCATGGTGCAAAAACTATGTTTTTAAAATAAGCTATAATTACTTCAAAATCAGAACCCATTCTATTTTATTACAGAGAATCTAGCTAGAATTTTGAAAAATCTAAGCAGATACATAAAATTATACTCATTCATCACAACTATTTGACAGAAACCATGTCTGCATGAGAAACATGCCTTGTTCCATTAACAGCCAAATGGCCATATTATTGGTCTTTTCCATGGAAAACAATATCCTTGAAAACATTTCTCAGTGAAGGGTTTTATAGACTCCAAACATGGCAGCTGTGTACAAGTATTCTTGTAAAGACTGCCTTTGACACCTGGCAGTTCTGACACCATTCTATTCTATTTTTTAAAATAAATAAATAAATAAATAAATTAGGAAGGTTGCCATGCTGTTAAGCGAAGCAGCAGATTTTAACATTACCTTTATTTCGTAGAATGCACTCCTAGATGTTTCATAGGCTCAAAAGGCAGTCTTAGAAAACACTAATAGTGAGTTGGTGCTATATACTGCTTTGTTTCTAAATTTGTCCAACTGCCCAGATGTGTCTCCCTGCTTAGATGAAATGTCAGAGTAAGCCAATCAAAACTCAGCCATATAGGCCTATTAACAAACAAGCCTAACATAACTTCAAATGTATATATTTTAGATCAAATAAGGGCAATACCAACAAGTCTACTTTAGGTTCTGATTAAGGGAAATATACACAAACATAAGGCCAAATATCATGGCTCTGAGAAAGGAGGCTGTTTTACTCTTCAAACTGCATTTTAATATGTTCTGCAGATGAATAAAAAGACTGTTTTAACTGATTAGATACTTATAGTCTATAAAATACTATTACAATTGATCAAGTGATCATTCAGAGGAGTAGTTCTGGCTATCTAAGAATTAGGAATGCACATTACCAAATAAAACAAAAAAATCAATAATACAAATTAAAGGCAAATAAGGATAAAGCCACATCAGAAATTAGGTGATCTTACCTTAGGCAGCAAATGTCTATTATAGTATTGTAACTAAGATGTTATCAGATAAGAATTACTTTTTATTTATTAAATTTATATGATTTATCCTGCTATTAAGCAACTCTGTGTGTGGTTTAAATTTGTACAAAATTACATTAAATATGACCAAAATAAGATAGAGGTATGAAATAGAATAATAGGATATTGTAGTAGTGCAATGGCCACAAATATCTAAATCACTGACAGACTTCAAAGGAAGTTTTTATTAGTAGCAAATGAACAAAATTATCAGGATTATTTCTACATGACTACAATGAAATTGTACAACATTTTATAAGTAATTTATAATTTAGAAGACAAAGAATTGCATATTAAAACATGAGTACCCAAGTATTTTTAAAAACAATTTTGTGTATTAGCTCATGAACAGTAATCCTATATATTTTACACTGTACAATTTTAAGGATTAATCTGAATCTCTGGAACAGTAAAAGAAAAATACTGATTTTTTAAAGAATTACTAATTCAAGAAAACCCAGTTATGAATTAGTACAACAAAAAAAAGAGGAATAAAAAGCTTGTATGTTCATAAAGTCAGTTGTACTATGAAAATAAATGACTAATAGGCAATTTTTGTTAGACAATACCAGCCAAAGGACTATTTTTTAATCTAAAAGAGTTATATTAGTTAAAAGCTTTATAAAGATGTAGATGGTGTCAAAAGAACAGGTAATATCTGACTCTCCACTAAGAAAGTATTGTCTAATGAAAGAGAGAAAGGAAAATTTCTCACATTGCCTCAGTTTCATTCTTAAGGCCCTGGAAAAATGGTTATGGAATACTAAAAGTCGGTGACTGGAAGCTTCTCCTATTCAAATTCTATTAATGTAGAATCACTAGAGTGCTAACCAATGCTTTAAATATATTATTTAAAATATTAACATTTAAATTAATAGAGAATTAAAATTGTTACTCAAGGGTCACAAAATACATGACAACCTGGAATAATAACAATGTCATTATAAAATACTGGATTTTTTTTTATAGTAATATGGATTACATAATTGTGACTCTTATTATACACGTAAAGTCCCAGTTAAGATAAACTGATGTTCGCACTATTAATATACAACTTACGAAGGTAAACATTAAGCATATTGAAAACCTTGTCTCTGGATACCAACTGTTGGTATTAACTCAAAGCAGCCATCCTAACTCCTAAAAAAAAAAAGGTTCCCCACATTCCCCACCACCGAGATGTTCACAAAGGCAAACTGTTTTTTTGTCGGATTCACACTGCGACTATCTAAATACAATGCAGCATTTCCAAGTGTGGAAACAATATAGCATAGTAAGAGCTTTGGGCAAAACATGACACGCCGCCGTCTCCCAAATACGTTTTTTTTAAACAGGATCACCACTTCATTAGCTAGCTCTAAAACAGTGTTTCTCAACCTTGACAATTTTAAGGCATGTGGACTTCAACTCCCAGAATTCCACAGCCAGCAATGCTGGCTGTGGAATTCTGGGAGTTGAAGTCCACATGCCTTAAAATTGTCAAGGTTGAGAAACACTGCTCTAAAAGCAAGGAAAAGCCCAAACGACAGCCCCCCACTACAGAATTGCGCAAAGCAGAACGAGTGAGGCCAGTGACAAGGCGATTTTCGCAGAAAAAACTGCCACGCACACACAAGCCCTCCAAAAAGGCCCAACGCCGATTACCAGATGCGCGGAGGCGACCAGGAAATCTTCATCCTCGGCGTCCAATTACCGATTTTTCTCCCTCGGCAACAGCTTGTTTGCCGCAACGGAAACCACTCACCTCACCTCCCTCTGCCCCGCCGCCTCCCAGAAAAGCAGCGCCCAGCCTCAAACTGCCATTAGCAACGTCATCCTTCCCACACTCGTCTACGTCGCACCCGGTACCTGCCAAGCCGTCCTAGTTAGCACACCAGGACGACACAATTCATTACCCACAAGGCCATCCAACCGGCATCCTCGCAGCCCAGCTGGCAACCTACAAAAACTCTCCCAAGTATTACTCCTCCTCCTCCTGAGATCTCCGGTCGAAGAAGCCCTACCTTCGCCGGCTGTCCAACCTGTTGGTGTCGACTGCCCTTAAAAGTACCAGAAGTCCCCCAAATCGGCAGTTTCTAAAACTGGGACAATTTGGGCTCTTCTGCTTCTCCAGCGAGCTTCCCGTCTAACCGAAAGCGCGCACACCATACGCACGACACACACGTCCGGGATGTTAGCGAAAGGAAGAGCCCCACCGCCAAACACGTATCCTCCTACGCAGTGTTTCTCAACCGTGACAATTTTGAGGCATGTGGACTTCAACTCCCAGAATTCCACAGCCAGCATTGCTGGCTGTGGAATTCTGGGAGTTGAAGTCCACATGCCTCCAAATTGTCAAGGTTGAGAAACACTGCTCCTACGGTTCCCTACCCGACATGTCATCAACAAAGCTGGCTTAATTTTAACAAAACCAAACCAAACCCGACCCCTGTATCACGAGTCCACCACCCAGACACCCCCGGCGTCCATCTTTCAGGGGTCCCGGAGTCTTCCCTTGCCACTCAAGTCTTCCCTTTTACGGGCAAAGGGACCGAAGGCGACGGCCACCGCCTCGGTCTCAACCCTCAAGGGAGGCTTTCCCGAACCCAACATCCCGCCGAGTCTTCTCATCGACGGGCAATTAGCGGCGTGCCACCTCCATCTCACACACACACCCCCCACCAACCGTGCTTCTCCGCCTCACCTGCCGCGCCCGACCGTCGGGGCTCAAACGACCCCCCACTCCCCCGGCACCAACTTACGACTAGTACCGCCACGGCTACCAGTACAAACGGCTAGGCCCAGCCAACCGTCCGCTCGGCTCCCGCGAGAAGCAGACGCCTCTATTCTGACGTCCGAACGCTCGCGAGAGTTCGAGCAGAAAGGGGAAGTCAAGTCAGGGGAGAAAGCGGATCGAGTTTCCCCCCCCCCGGGGAAATCAGCTGATCCCTGCGGGCTCCGCAGCCCGCGACTCGGTTCAAGTCGCCGGAGGGCGAGTTTTGTGGTCGCGCGGCAACGGCCTGTTTCTTCTCGCTGCCCTCGTCCTCACGTTCCTTCCAGGAGCAGCAGCTGCAGCAGCGGCGTCCCCTCCTTCTGGCACTTAAACGCAGGGGACCGGTCCTCAAGGACCCCCCCCCCCAGCTGTGACTCGGGGTGAACGGCCTACCCCTGGCCTAGCCTGCTGTTTCAGCGCCGTTCCTTCTCTGGTGGGTGAAAGGCACGTTCGGCTCCCCAGCGGCTTAAACCCAAATCGTCATAGCTTCTTCCAAACTAGAATCTATACCAGAGATAGTTGATAAAATACAACGGTAGGAAAAAAAAAAAAAGGAAACCAATCTGCGCAGTTGTGACATTCAAATTAAAGAACCTGCGGCAGAGGGTGGCTTGGCCATCTTAACGAGAAAAGGAGTCCGGGCCGCCTTTATTGAGAAACTCTCATTCTGTTTAGTCAGTGTCTGTTTAGAAAGAAACCACCTCAAATTCCCTGGACATTGGTTCAGATTACAGGTTATAATCCCATTGGTTCAGATTACAGGTTATAATCCCGCACTTGATCACTGAACCCGTTGAGCTTTTTTGTGGCCGGGCATGGGGATATTGGTGCTTGGCTCGAAAGAAGAGCAAAAAGTCAGAAGGCCATTTAATTTACCAAGCACGCCTAATATCCGTGTGATAAATATGGGTCACTGGGCTAAAAATAGGAAACTACCTAATTTGTTTTGCAAATCCAGATATATTGTGTTATTCCAGCGGAAGAGATTTTGTGTAGTTTAGGGTTGAACTAGAGTTCTTCATGCTCTCTGAGTTTGTGTGCTTGCAAGTATTTCATTATCGGATTAAGTCAGGTCAGTGGGAGTGAGTGTGGGTTTGCTCCCTGTTTAAATACAATAGCTTGCTCTGCCAGTATTGATGGGGAGGTGCTTTTCTCCTTGGTGGTTACTAGATTAGAGTAGTTTTCTGTTTGATTGTTATCAATTGATTGTTAACACTAGACAAACAAATAGAAAACAACCCTAATCTGGGAATTACCAAAGAGAAAACCACACACACACACACACTCACACACACACACACACCTACCCTGTTAGGGCAAACAGCTGTATATAAACAGCAAACCCACATTCACTAGCCCTTATGAAGTTAACCTAGTGAGGTAATGTAATGTCTGCAAGTAAGCAACCAAGAGTTTTATATTGTTTAATATTGCTTTCATAAGTTATGTGTAGGTAAGTTGTGTGGTATTTCACATGCCTTTTCAGCTACAATAGTTCCTAGTCCGTAAATCATTTTTTAAAAAAATGGTTTAAAAGACTTGAAATTCATGAAATTCAGAGTCAGGCATATCAAGAAGGAACTGTTTGCTTCGGTCCTCAATTTTACCCTAATGCTGTTAAAATTTAAAGGAAAACCACAGTAGAGACCTCAGGCAACCCTGTTCCAATCCTGTTCCAATCCTTAGGTCTCAAGACCAAGCAAAAGAGTTAAACCTCAGTACTGAACTTATAGAGCAAGGCCTCACTCCATTAGATAATTTAACAGTCTGGGATTATTTGGGGGTGTTTGCAGTCTGATCCAGAAATTAAGTTTCTAGATTCAGATAACATTCTGAACCTTTAAATGAAATGGTTAAAGCATATTTGGTGAATTATATTGAAATATATAATATCCCTGAAATATCCAAGGGCTACAATAGCTATTTTGGGAGCAGCTATCTTGTATGTTTGAAGCTTGTCAGGCTGTCCTTTTTGTTTTGTTTCGTTTTTCAAAATCTACAAAATGATACAAAGCCAAGGGCCCTTATCAGGTTGGAGCTACTACATCTATTGATGTTCTGAAAGACCCGACAAAGTGATTGATCGTGTGAGTACCTCCTGTCTTCTCTCCTCTGTCTCAACGAAATTGGGTACAGAGACATAAGTCTCCGAGATCTTTTTACAATTTAATTGTGAAACAAGATGGACATGTTTACTTACACTACATGTCCATCAGGAACTGAATATCGTCACACAAATCACTGGTAAGAAAGTTACAATGGCACTGAATTTTTTTTCACACAACTGTTGCAGCATCCCCATGATCATGTGATCAAAATTCAGTCACTTGGCAACTGACTCATTTATGACAGATTAGTGTCCCAGGATCATGTGATCACCGTTTGTGACCATCTGACAAGCAAAGTCAATGGGGAAGCCAAAGTCACTTAGCCACTTAACAACTGCAGTGATTCATGTAACTGTGGCAAGAAAGGTGGCAAAATGAGGCAAAACTCATTTATCAACTGTCTCGCTTAGCAACAGAAATGTTGGGCTCAATTGTGGTTCTAATCTGAGGACTACCTGTACTCGGGGTTATCTGAGAGCGGGCTTTATACAAACACAGCCACAAACAAGCCAGATAACTCCATTTCAACACTGAGTATTCCATGAACCCAATCCTTCTTTTCAAATAGAAACTGTCTTGTATTCTTCAGTAGAAAATTTGTCCATAAATGTAGTACAATCATAAATTAATATAATTCTGTTTAGAAACAGTTTGGCCAACTTTGAATCTAAATTTGTGATTAAATTTGCAATTCTTAAAGAGAAAGGAAGTACTCTTTTTGATACACAGATTTTTCCACTGTATTGCTGCTGACCAGTTTCCTTCAGATTAAGCCAGCTACTTTCCTTTACGTCCAGCCATTTGATGTACTTGCCGAAGTAGAAATAAAATATCAGAGAGTGATACTTTATTTTTTAAAGCTTTCATAGCTCCCTCTAGTGGCGTGAATTGTAAGACATAAGTATTTCTGGTCATTGTGTTTTATACCAGGGGTCCCCAATCCCTGGTCCGTAGAACAGTACCGGCCCGCGGCATGCCAGCAATTGGGCTGCACAAACAAGCAAAGCCTCATCCGTGAGATGCAGGCAGCACACAAAACCACGCACCCTCCGGTCCACGGAAAAACTTCTCTCCACAGAACCAGTCCCTGGTGCCCAAAAGGTTGGGGACCTCTGTTTTATACTTTAATTTACAAACATTCATTCAGCAACCATTCAAAGTTGCTATGATGCTGGAAAAAAGTGAGTCATGACTGGTCCACAAAGTTACAACCATTGAAGTACCCCCCACAGTGAAGTGATCAAAATTAGTGTGCTTGAATGCCCATCCATCTTTACAACTACATGGACTCTCCAGATCCCCTCAATCACATATCTGCACCATTCTGTGCTCTTTTGACTATCCTACATAGCATTTGGCAGCAGAAGGATTGAAATAGAGGCTTGGGACCAGCCAGGTGTTACTGCCCCCAGACCTCTATTTCAGCACCAGCACTGCTGCTGCCACCGAGAAATGCCACCTCAAACCCCAAACCTTGCTACACCCAGCTGACCTATGGCATCATCCTCTCACTGCAAGGCAGTGCTAACCATGCCAGGCCTTCTTCCCGAGGCCACTGGCACCATTCTTCAAATTGCCCATGCCATTCTCCAAATACTAGTGCATCCCATCTGTGCAATGCTTTTGAAAGCCTTTGGAAAACTTCTGAGGTCTTTGGAAGTATTGCAAGGATGTGGCGCCTGCCTTTTTCCGAAGAGTGTGCTAGACCAGGGGAAGATGGCCTCCCTTGACCGGCAACTGCCTCATAAAGACGCTGGGAAAGCAAGTGGGAGGGAGGTCAGCAGTGGGAGGAAGCAGATGGCAAAGATCAGCTGGGAGTGTGGGATAGCGAGAATGGATGGGTTGGGTAACACTTTTTGGCCAAAGCTTTGCACCGTGCTCTTGGCACTTCCCAGAGCACGGCAGCTTTGTGCCACACTTGGCATTTCCTGGGTGTTTATTTTTATTTTCCAACTTCTATGCCGCCCTTCTCCCCACGGGACTCAGGGCGGCTCACAGCATATTAAAAAACAACACAAAAAACATTTCCCCTATAAAACCAATTAAAGCCAAATATATTTATGGCTGTGTCATTATTAAAATCTTTAAAAAAAATTTTCCCTATTTAAAATTCACCCTAGGTCAGTCCCGCTTGTTCAAAAAGCCATGTCTTGAGGGCGCGGCGGAAGGTTAGGAGATCCGGGATCGTCTGGATCTCGGGGGGTAGTTCGTTCCAGAGGGTGGGGGCACCCACAGAGAAGGCCCTCCCCCTGGGGGTCGCCAGCCGACACTGCCTGGCCGACGGCACCCTGAGGAGGCCCGCTCTGTGGGAGCGTACCGGTCTGTGGGAGGGAATCTGTGGCAGAAGGGGGTCTCGTAGATATCCAGGTCCTATGCCATGGAGCGCTTTAAAGGTGGTAACTAACACCTTAAAGCGTACCCGGAAGGCCACTGGTAGCCAGTGCAGCTCGCGCAGCAGCGGCGTTACGTGGGAGCGACGCGTCGCTCCCAACACCGCCCGCGCGGCCGCATTCTGGACCACCTGAAGCCTCCGGATGCTCCTCATAGGGAGCCCCATGTAAAGAGCATTACAGTAGTCCAGGCGGGAGGTGACGAGGGCCTGAGTGACTGTGCGCAAAGCATCCCGGTCCAGAAAAGGGCGCAACTGGTAGATCAGGCGAACCTGATAAAACGCCCCCCTGGTCACGGCCGACAAATGGTCTTCCAGTGTCAGCCGTGGA